GCTAAAAAATCGTCATCCGAATCTTTTTCAGAAAGTTGTTGAAACCTTCTCATCAGGAGATGAGATTCTCCCACCAGGGGGGAATTGATGCATGCAAATTTTAGTTTATTTTCATTTTTTATTATAATTTTTGTTTAGTTTTTTTATGATATCCTATGATGGAAAACATCCAATGATCATGAGTAGATAGTGCTTGGGCATGACAAACCTTGGGTGTGCTAGCTACTTGGGTTCTGTGGTCTTTGGGCTGCTAGTTGCCTCTCAGGTTGGACCTTGGCTACTCGGGTTTAGGCTGTGTTCTTTGGGAGCTACTTGGTTCTTGCTCATAAATGCTTGAATTGTGTTTAGCTCATTTATTTGAAAAGATATTTCTCTTTTTAGCTCATTAAGTGGAGTTGGATCTTTTCCTTTTTCCCCTTCTCTGTGTCCCCTCGGTTTCTTCCTAGTGTTGTTTCTCGTGGTTGGTTCTTTCTCCCTTTTTGGGTGTTGGTTCCGATTCCCTATGCTGCCCCTTCGATTTCTCCCCTGGTTGCTTGTCCCGTGGCTGCTTTACCCGATTTTCTGTGATGTTTTTGGGTGTTGTTATGAAATAAATTTTGGCCTTTTAGTTCTCCTTACCTTATTGGTTCGGTTGGAGGTTGAATGGTTGTTTGGCTCCCCCTTTTCTCTTATAAATTGAAGATGTTTTGAAGCATAAAGGGTTGTTGAATATTTGAGAGAAGTCTCTACAAAACCTTAAGGTTTCTTCTTCCTTGGAAAAGCTTGAGAGCTTGTTCCATTTCTCTCTTCCTCCTCTCTATTTCGTCTTGGGCTTCTAATCTCTTCTCTCCGCAAGTTCCTCTCCACTTGTATCTTTCTTCTTGAGCTATTAGAGGTGTTTGTTGGCTGATTTGGTGACATTTGTCGGAGGAGTTTTGTTGGATGTTGGACCTTGTAGCTGTGGTGGACCCTTGGTTTGCAATCCCTTATGCACTTATCTTATTTTGCCTACTTTTTCGTTGCATGTGAGGAAACCACTTGCTGGTTATTCTGAGGATAGTTTTTTTTTTTGTAATTTTGTTTCGATTGTTCGATTATTCGTTTGTTTTGGTCTTTGTTTGGATGTCTGCATTCTAGTTTGAACGAGTTTTATTCTACTTGTCCTAGTGTTCTCCTATCTTGGCTCTTTCTTTCTAGTTTGCCTGCATCATAAATGCAACAACAACAACATCATCATCAAGCATTTGTCCCACTATGTTGGGTTGGCTACATGCCTACATTAACCCTTTTTCTCCATTGTGTCATATTAGAAGTCAAATTCTCATTTAAATCTAATAAAGAAATATCATGTCTAATATTTTCTAAACAAGTCTTTTTAGGTCTAACTCTAGCTTTCTTAACATTAGTCAAATCTAATACCTCTACTTTCCTAACCGGGTAATCGAAAGGCCGTCGTTTTATGTGACCAAACCATCTAAGGAGACTCTCTAATCTTATCTTCCACTGGAGCTACTCTAGCCTTTTTCAGGTATATGCTCATTTCGTATCCTATCTTTTAAGGGTAAAGCCACTCATCCAACTGAGCATCCTCATCTCTGTAATACTTAACTTAGTAAATATAAAGAGAGATAGGTAGATCATTGAACTGTCAAAAGGAAAGTAAACAATAAGATGCAAATAAATTTTTCCTGCAAAATATAGAACAAATAAAAGTCTAGAATAATATAAAGAGAGATAGGTAGCCAAATGATGTATCTAATCCTATAAAATTGACTACTAAGAAATTTTTGCTTCTATTGTTAAAATGAATATAATACGCCAATTATGAATAGTTCACATAGCAATATTATGTAAAAAATATTTTCCTATAAAGGATGTTGAAGAAATCTATATGAATCCACCACCTCGATTTGATAGTTCTTTCACAAAAAATAAGATGTGCAAATTAAAAAAAAAACTATGTATAGCCTTAAGCAAACTTCAAGAGCATTATAAGAGAGTAGATGTATTAGATTCAACCTATGTTAAGAAAGGTGAAAGTAGACCTAGTTAGGTGTATTAAAATGATATTTTTATTAGATTTAAATAATAATTTGATTCTTAATATAACATAATGGAGAAAAAAGATTCATATAACCGACCACACGTAGTGAGACAAAGGTTTGTTGCTATTATTGTTAATTCTAAACCGTTTGAAAAAGTTTATAAATACTTTCATACTTTATACATAATCAAGTAATAAAAATCTAAATAGTTTTTTCTATTTTTCTACTTTTCTAAATGAACTTTCAAGCAACAATGATGGTCAAATATAACTCATCACCATGTATTTTGTTTTTTTGCCATCTCAGAGCTACTGTGAAAGGTATATAATAAAGCTTCACGAGTCTCTATATTAAAATCATATTTTGTTCAGTGTTAGTGATGATATACATTTGGTTATTTAAGTTTGAATCCATTCATCACCATTAGTTATAAGTTATAATAGGAAGGTGATTAATGCAGAACTGTATATTTAAAAAATAAACAAAGCCCGAACTTATAATTAAAGTTTCAATATTATTTGCACACTATAACTTAAACCCTAAAACACATTAGACAATATATTAATTGTTACAATCATATTCAAACTTTAGTTAAATCATACTCATACTAAGTTCAAACAAAATTTGAACGTTGTTCATACAAAGTTCGAACCATGTACGAACCTTATTCAAAACTTGATCAAAACATGTTCAAATAGGTCTGAACATATTTTGAACTAAACCCTTTTATTTTGTGCCCTCTATCTTTTATAAAAAAGGATTCATTTAACTTGGTTTATTATGTATGCAAATATTTCCTCTAATCATATATATACAAAGGCATTACACAGCTCATGCCACATGTAAAACAAGAGATGTGGTAGATAAAGCTATTAAACAATTTGATTCTTTTTATCTTTTTGAAAGGGTTGAACAAATTCTAACTTTAATGACAAATAATATAAAGTTCAGATTCTAACATTCAAAATAAGACGTCGAATTTAAGCACTTTATAGTGCTATAGATGAGTATTTTAAGTGCTATGTTGAATGAGATGAGACTGGCTATTAGGTGGTTGGAACGCCACTTAGGACATAGAAGGGGAAATCACAACTATGCTGTGTTATACCTATTCTGATTGTATTTTGTTTCAACAAAATTATTGTCTAATGTGTTATAATTACTGTGATTGTCCTCTCCTATATCAAAATTTTAATTTGTTATATATATAGTTGTGATTTCAACTATCATATCAAAATTATACTCTACCACATTATAATTGTTATGACTGCAATTTGGTGTGAAAGGAGAAGAATTAATTTATGTCATTTTTGGGTCAAATGATAGTAACCAAGACTATATTTTTTTATTCTGGACAGCAATGAAGGCTCCAAAAAAAATAAGATCCCTCTGATCTTTAGTTACGGCAATAAATGAAAATTATTTTTTTTTAAGAAATAATCGGCCGGTCCTTTTAAGACTTGGACCGGGTAGCTAAGGCACGCAAGCAGAAGTCTGCTTCGGATAGGGAACCGCTCGAGCGAGTCTTCTGCTCGGCTAGGGCTTTTGTGTCTTCAGCAACGCTCCACTTCGACGTCGATCGGCAAGGTTCTGTCCGCAAGGGGGCTCCGTCTGTGGCGTACGTCCACGACAATGCTTCGTCCGACATAGGTCGGCAGAGTTTTGTCCGCAAGGGCTCCGTCTGCTGCTTCCGTCTTCTGCAAGGCTTCAATTTCTTCTTCTTTTCCTCCTCCAACGATCTACGATCATTCTACAATGACAATGTAGGTCGTTGGCTTTGATGACATGTTAAAAATAGAGGTTTGAGAAGAAAAAGCTTAACTTTATTCCATGAGTTCTTCCCTATTTATAGATCTATACAAGATATCTTGATACATAAACAAATAATTATAGAATAACTCTAATATAATCCTTCCTAAATCAACTATCCGAATATGAAAGGCATTCTGTCGTGAGTCCTGCATCCCACGGATTGACCACTATAGCCGTTGGATTTGTTTGCGTTTTAATGGCTGGATTTTAATGGTGCTCATACCGGAAGCCTAAATGAAAGCACTTCTCATTCACAGCTTACATCATCGATCTGAAGTCAAATCACTCTAATACAAAGTGAAAAACGTTTATGAATTTCATCATAATTTGAGGATAACGTGCATGATCGAATTGTAATAAGTACAAAACAAAATAAAAGTCATTACACAATGCAAAAGTAACATTAGCAAACATTCAAATTTAGTAATTCAATCAAACTGATAGAAAGTATGAACCAAGAAGAAAAATTTTAGACATCTTTTCTAAACAAAAACAAAAATTATTACAATGACATTAAATGGACAATGTACTAAAATCAAAGTGCAATGAAAATTATGACATAGCTGCCTGAGTTGTCAAGTTTCACATGAAGACATTAAGGACCTCATGCAAAAATCCCTTATAGCTCAAGAAAATATACATGTAAATCACCAACTTGACTGTCAAATTAATTCAATAATCTGCATAATTTTACCATCCGTGAATAAGGATAATCATGAGGACAATATAATTGATAAAATAGTTCCACCCTTCACCGAGCAAGAATATCAAAAGCATTTAATAAATCTAATATCATAGTTAGCATATGGATTATCTTTAAAACAACCCAATTATGAGAAAATTTACAGTTAAAATTTTGTGATTGACGCACTTAACTGACCACAGATGCCAATATCTCGTTAATCATAAGAGGTCAATATCCCATTACGTACTCAAATTTAAATGCTTTTCGTTATTAATACTTCTTCCTACACTTCTGTGAATTTCACCATGTGGAGACCATGCAATAGTAATGCAAAAAGTTACAAACCTTAAAATTAACTATCTGCTTTACGAATAGATATGCAAAACACAGTCGACATAGTTTATAACTGCTAAAAAAATGCTCCAACAAAAAAAAAAAACATGAATTGCAAATAAATAGCAGTCAATAATCTCACTCACTTTCTCTAGAGAGCGATCCTCTACCACCTATAGCTGCTGAACTAGTTGTTTGTGCAACAGCTCTGTTCAACTGAAAAAACAAAAAAAACAACAACATAAGCATCCACTCCAAAAGAGCGATGGCACCGATAGCAAAATAGGCAAACAAACAAAGCTGTCCATTTAAACAAAAAGTGCAATCTCCATGGTGTCAGTTTCATGATGAAAAAAATAATCCATTTTACACAGATACCTTGACAATGAAAAAAATAGAGACAGACAATGAAAAGTTATAACACAAATCTATGAAAAACAAGACGCCATCATCAGGATTCAAAAGATTTATTTATGAAACTGTAGGTACCTAGGGTAGCGTTATTCTCATTATCATTGTCAAACAACCAATGTCAGGCAAAACGAAGCAAAATATAAAGGCATTCAAATTAAATTTCACTGATTTTCGGTTGAGTCATCCCTACAAGTATAAAGGATACTAGAAAGGCAGAAAATTTTAGATTGAATGGAAGAACTTGTATCCCGTGAAGATCAACCATGAACCTTAATCAAATTAAAAAAACATGGATTTGAAACTATGACCACTAAGTTTAATATTAAGGACGAATCCTATACAGCAATAAAAAGGAGGTTATGGTGAAACTCGACAACAAAAAGCAGTTTCACATATCACACTTATTCTACCATGAGATGCTTAATAAGCTACACTATTAGCTTTTGAAATGGAAGATAATTATGCACCAAAAAACTAATTCTTCATTAAAGTTCAAATTCAAGAGAGATTCCTTTGTCTTTCTTATTTGGGTATCAATAAAGACCAAATTAAATTCATTGCAAAACAAAGAAATCAAATTTTTATAATTTCATTGACACAACAAATTATTTTCCCTTAATAAAATATATGCCATCTTCCCTCTTAATCTTATGATGCTAGTCCCGGTTTCAGAGCCTGAAAATAGTCAAAGAGAGCATCCTTTCCATCAGTAGGAGAGAATGTAACTATCATCAGAAGAATCAGTGCATAGAGGGAAACAAAAATAAGGACAGTGGTAAAAGAAATACTCATTTTTCAGTTTAAACAATAAAATTATGTCTGAGTATGTCTAAGCAAAGTTGGCATCACAAGGAAGACAATGCGGCATTCAGTACAAAGTTGAACACGTTCAATTTAGGGCAGTTCAAATCAAATAAAAATCTAATGCTGCATCCTAACAACAATGCTAACCTCCAGGAAACTGCTTGAAAGATCATCGATTTCAGAGGAATAACCAAAGGCTTCAGCCTGCAACCATATCACGGTACAGCAAAATTATTAAAGTAGGGCTTTCCATACTTAGCTTACATGATGAAAAATAAATTTGCATAATTTTACAGTAATAATAAAGGAATTACATTACATGCACAATGCGATAATAACACATGACAGTGCAGAAAAAGAAAAAACAAGTAGCAACTGCTCGGCTATTCAAATGCAATAGGAAACTTTATAGAAACAATGATATGGTAATAAAAGGGACAAGAGACATGAGAAGCTGTCCCCATTGTTTTTGATAAATTTTTGTATATTGATCTTCTTATTATTCTTGAACTTCCAACAACCGATCTGAATTCAATACAGCAGTTCAATTCATGGAAACACAATGTATTGACTTAAAACTTGGAGAAAAGGGGATGTAAAGTAAAAAAGCATAAATAAAAACCGTATCTTCCGATATGCCAACAAGAAGGTGTATTTATGAATTCTGCCACAATAAAAAACCTATAAATTCCCCAAATGTGGGTTGACTGGCCACATGCAATTAGCATGCTAAATAGAATAAAGGGAACGGAAAAAAAAAATCTTCAAATTTGGATCCATCAAACATACATTACCACTAATAAATCACTAGGATCACCAAAACTATTGGACAATAGACCTGGCAAAGTGGATTTGACCAGTCCAACTGAGGTTTGGTAGCATAGGCTTCGTTTGGGATGGCTTTTTTATTGCTTCTTAAAGCAGCTTTACAACAACAACAACAACATCAAGCCTTTATCCCACTACGTGGGGCACCATAAAGCATTGCAGGCCTCACTACCATCTTATAGAATTTTGAGGGGTACATTTTTATCACATAACAAGCCCGATGCATTCCTCCACTTCAACCATCCAACCTGAATTCTGTTGATAATATCCCCATCTATTTCACCATCACTCTGAACAATAGATCCAAGATATCTAAAATGTGTACTCTTATTAATGACTTGATCGGCCAAAGTCACAATCCCCTCACTAGGTCTATTACTATTAAAATTACACTCCATATATTCCGTTTTAGATCTACTCAAGCGAAAACCTTTAGTTTCTAATGTTGACCTGCATAATTCAAGTTTACTTTCAACTCCCTCTCTAGTCTTATCAACAAGAAGAATATCATCAGCAAAAAGCATACAAATGTTAAATGTCAGAAGTTGGATTTGAACCCACGCTTCTTAAAGCGGCTTTCTAGTACAAAAATTAGCCGCTTCCGCCCCAAACGAAGCCTTAATATGTTTCAGTTTGAACCACCACCACTGCATATAAACCCACATAAAACTGGCACAACCAGAAAACCAGCTTATATAACTGCTAGTCAACCTACATAAAGTTCTAGTGTCAAGAACATATTCACAGAAAGTAGCAATATTAATGTTTATGCACTTATGTATATTAAGAGCCCAACCAAAAATCCTTCTTAAACAAATTCCACCTGAAATGACATCAATTGCCACAATTTTGAACTCCCTGCAATACCAGTCTTACTGATAACCTACAGTAAGTTCACATGACTCGTGCATGTTAATCCAATCAATACTGGTTAAACTACTTTTCTCCAGAAAATCAAATGATAAATAAATGTAAAACAGATTCATCAATTAACTGTATGGAGAGCTCATCCAAACAGGTAAAAACTGTAAATAACGCTACTAAATTATTAGCTGAAACAACTATTTATAACAAAAAAATTTAAAGTAACTAATCGGTGGCAGCTATCTCATACTTGCTGCATTTGCAAAGAAAAAGCTTTCAGTATTCCCTTATCACAAAATGAACTCACATTATTGAAAGAATTTTCTTTTAAATAATAAAATACATAGTATGACAACATCATTTCAAAAAAAACAGGAAATAAATTAAATTAATTGGATCAATCACGCTAATTCAAAACAAGGAGTCAAGGACACTCTTGCCAAACTTATGGATGAGCATGTTACATCTCCAAAGATACAAAGCAAATTAAAAATGAATGTCATTTAAAAATTCTAACGAGCCCTATACTAATGTTTGACTGTTCTTATTATTCACCATATTTATAAAATGTTTCGGTTGTATGCTACTTGGTTATGTAGATATGATAATGGGCTAGTAACTAAATGAATGCATCTTATTAAATGCAAAATTTAATATAGAATCATGGAAAACTCTAACACATTTAATTATGTTGAAGGTTTACTTTGGTAAGGCTAGTGTTTCTCGGTTCTTTAAACTGAAAAATGTTTGGAAAATTGTTCAAAAATAGGCTCAAAAGCTTAGCTTTATCAAAAACAAAGCTTGGACTATGCCCATCCACATGCACGTAATAAAAATGTAGGAAAAATTGCTTTCCATCGACTATGCATATGATGTCATTTGAACCATGGAAAAATAAACTGATAAGCAATAGGTTATTTGAAAGCTATGCCATCTAACATGCACATTTGACATAAACAACCTTCTTTCTAGAAAAAAGCCAATGTTAAAAGTTGAATATATTTGCATAAAACTTTCTCATACAGCAATAATAGTAACAAAGATAAAAGTAAAATTAACAATTGTAATGATAAGGACCAGCAACAAATAAAGCAAGTATTTAAGTAGCAATATACAATTCATTGCAAAAAAACTTTTTTTATTGCCAGTACTTGATCGGCGGCAACAATAAGGAATAAATTGAAGAATATCTAAAAATAGTTGACAGAACTCTCACTGTAGAGAGATAGTGTCATGAATAAAAGACCACCTCTTGTCTATTTTGATGAGTTGGAAATACAAAATCTCTTTCATGATCTCCAACAGATCCAGATTCATCAGCATCATCTTCTAGGCCCCCAAGCTCTATTTCATTGATAGCACTCTTACCAAAAAACTCATACTGAGAAGCATCAAACCTAGCATCACCTGCCAAACAGCAGATAACCAAATAATAAATAACCTCAAGCAATAGATCACACATCTATTACATAACTAAGCAGAAAATAAAACAAAACTCAACTGCATTCCATATAATGAAAAAGCCTTAAGGAACCAAAGAATATTGTCCATCTTTATTCTATAATTACCATCTACCTCATAGAAGAAAAAAAAAAGTATAGTAGAATCCAAGATTTTACATAAAAAGAAAAAGTAATAGGATGATTCAAGCTATACATGACCTCTGCTGGAAATTCAATGGATAGAAATATTCAAATTGAAACTGAACATATAGAAAGATTGCTACAATAGCCTACAGCACCAAGAAAAGTGTCTCCTTTTGAGAGAAACATGATTCTTTTAAGTATTTGTGAAACCCAATTTGAAGAATGATTGAGCGGATAAAATAGAACGACCAGCCAAATAAACGAATATGCTGGAATTATTAATAGCAGTAAGGAAATTGAAAAAACCGTAATAAACCAGACCATGCATAAAAACAACTAAAAAAATAAGCATCCCAAATCATAGCGCAGGACTAAAATCTCCAGAAACTAAAGAGCATATTCAAAATAAACCATAGAATTCTCAATACCCTCCCGAGATATATTCAACCAAATTATAACAAAGATCTACTAATTGAATTCAGCAGAAAATCCCATAAATTCAACCCCTTTCCATTGGTCGACAAACCGAACAGACAAAAGGTACGGAAACAAGGATTGATGACCTACCTGCACCGCCATCCAACTCTCCATCACGCGGAGTATTATCGGAAACCTCGCTCTCGCGCTCAAAAGCCACAAACCTTTCCATCACACTTCTCTTACAACTACAAATCCTTCAATCCAGGAAAATATCAAGATGCAAAAACAGCATTCAAAAGCACAATAACAGAAAGAAGCATAAAGTTTTCGATGTGGAGGGGGGTAACAAGGAACCCTAGAACCGATTCCAGAATCAAACTTCTACAAGCAATTCAGATCTACTAAAACGAAAACAAGGAATCCAAAAGCCGGAAGAAGGGAAAATAAGTGGAAAAAATAGTCCCTTTTTGTGAAAGTTTTATTCTACCAGTTTTAATTCTAACTACAAAACAGTAGAATATGAAAACGAATCGGAAAGAAAGCGCTGACAATAATTTCTGGAGGCAAAGAAGATAGAGGGATTAGGGATTCTAGGGTTTGGAAGGGTAGGATTTTTCACTAAAACGATTCCTCTACTCCCCTCTCTTTCTGGACTCCCACGCCCCTCCCCGCCCTCAGCTTTCCCTTCATCTCTCATCAGTTTGAAGCTGTCGAGCCGGGGAATTTATCGTCCGAACTCCGAAGGTAAGACAAAACAGTCTTAAATTTATTATAAAGTAGATGAATAAATTGTGTAGTATCAAATTAATTAAATTTATTTATTTTAAAGTTTTAATTTAGTTTAACTCAGCATCATTTTAATTTAAATGAAACACCAAATAATAATTTTACATGTAAATACTTTATTTACATTAAATTTTCATTAAAAAAATCAACAGCTTGTTACATATAAATACTTTAATTTCAATTTAAGAGCTCTTAATCTCTATTTAATTTTAATCACATTATTTTTTTTTTTTTTTTTAGATTACAATTAATAAAACGGGCTCAAAATCAAATCAAGGAATTTAATAAACTCTACCATTCAATAAACAAAATGTCCTATTCATTTATGATAACAAAATCATCAAAATAATGGTTGGTTTAAATGTGAGTCTTTGTTTGAAAAACATGCTAAAGAAACATTCAAATCATTTGCAAAATAACAGATAAATAAATAAGATGGCTATTATCACTCCAAAGATTATTATATTTTATGTTTAAGGCTCTTTTTAGGGGGATTATTACATTTGGAGGCCAGATGTAGAGAATCGTTCAATTTTGCCCATAAGAAAAATAAAAATGCAGTTGTGAACAATAAAAACACATCGTTGAACAATAAAAACATAGTGATTAATAGTAATTACTCTTTTACTGTTCATGGAGATAAAATCAGACGGTTTATTGTATCCGGTCTCCGCACGTAATAATCTCTCCTATTTGGGAAAACTTTTAATTGCTAATTTTTTGTAATTTTCAATAAATTTGTGTACTAAAAATTATTTTAGAAAAATAAGAAACATGTCCCAAACAAAATCTCAATATTGAGCTTCTTCAACAGCTTGCATTGATATTCAATGGTAATGGAGTTTGATTGATAGAATTTTCCATAGTTGATAGTGTCACGCACAAATAATTAAAACAAAATATAATTTATTATTATTATTATTATTATATATTTATTCTTAATTTGCACTCAAGAAAGTCCTCCAACACTCAAATTAAAAGCCATGGGTAAAGGTGATCAATGAGAGTGAACTAATTTAATATGATTTATTTTAAGAATGAGAGAGAGAGAGAAAAAAAATAATTTCTTCGAGTCCTCACCCAATCCCATTGTTAATTTTATGTTAAAATCTTTCGGGTGTAAAGTAAATCAAATGCACGAAATTTGAATATTTAGGTATTCAATTGAAGAAAAATAATCAAATGCAACGTAATTTTTTAAATATTTTGTAATTCTATGTTTGATTTATTTTTTATATATCTAAAATTTGTCCTATTTGATTGAATTTCAACTACATTGAAAGTGTGAATCTACATTTAGACTTGTTTTATATGTTTTTTGCGAAAAAATATTTAAATTTGTAATTCTTGAAACTTGTAAAATACAATAAAAAAATTACAAGATAAGACTAAGCACAATAAGGCCAAGTCAAAATTCTCAGTTGAAACTTTAAAATGTTACACAGACTATTGCATAAATGGAACAATAAAGGGTGTCTTTTCTGAAAGAAACAACACAAAATACGTTGCTTTCAGTCCAGAATTTGCACAGCATTTTGATTTTGTAGTTCAAAATAAAAACAATATATAATGATATAAATATGCACTTTGATCCCAAAAAAAAGTACATTAAGATTTAATATTTCTCGATTCTCTTTCCCCCAACAAAGCCCTTTCAATTTCTTTTGGCCATTAGTGCCGTAGTCTGTAGTCCACTAGACCTTTATTGATGCTGATGTTGTAGGCTACATCAAATGGGCTCTGAGATTTTTTTTTTTTTATCAAAGTTTATTTTAAAATAAATAATTTAATTATTATTGGATTCAGCCTGTGCTGATGATTTTTTTTTCTCGGTTTTTTTCACAAAACCTATTGAGTCTTTAGTTTTAATTAAAGATTAAAGATGATTGTTTCTCATGTTTTTGTTGTGTTAGCTTCAAAGGGTAGTTTTGTGAATCTTGATGAAACTAATGCGGGTGTGTGTGATATTAACAGGGTTGATGTGTTTGATTCTTCTTGCGGTTTGGTGTCTCTTTATGGTTGATATGTCCTTGAAAAAGTATCTTGATCGGGCACAAATCTCGAGGCAAAATTAAATTGGAAACTTTCGAAATTAAAAGTGGGTGGTCATCCGGACTCTGATTTCAGCAAACTTATAGTCGAATTGAACGTCTTGGAAATATGAACACAACGACACCAAAATCAACTCAATTCGAGTCCAAATGGATCCAAATCAAGGGTCCGAAGTGCTATTGGAGGGTTTGAACCACAATTTGGATTACCAAACGGTTTCCAAACATGACGTGCTTATAGTCAAATTTTCTTCTCTACCGCCAACATTCTTCTCAACAGCCGCTAGAGTTCTCCTTAACCACCATCGAAGTTATTCCTGACTATCACTAAACTTTTACAACATATCTAAAGATTGGTAGAACTTTTCAATACATAATATTCTCCCCATTCAAGGATTGGAGCATGGATTGACTTTTGTAATCTATCCAAATTCTAGGGAAACCATTTCAATTGGGCAAGACCCCATGATTTTTCTTTTTCTTAGGATTTTCCACATGAAAATCCTAGTGTTTTCTCCTTCATCTATTTGTGCGCTGAACTTTCATGCATTACTAAGACGTATATTCTTCGAACTCTATTGTCGTGAATTTCTCAATCCACAACAATGTTCTTTTTAAAAAATTTGGATTGCAACCGCCAACTTTGTTATAGCTCCCATACATTAATATATATGAATACAAAAAACAACTTCACATTATAATAATTTCTAAAAATTAATAAGAAAACAACAATAAATCAATAGCCAAATAAAAATATCTTTGAGGTCTAAAATGTAAAGCAATAAGAAAGTTAACTGAAATAAATCATAAGGCTCATTTGGGACAGCTTTCTTACTGCTTTTTATAATTTAATTTTTTAGTACAAAAATTTTCTGAATTAGAAATTTTTTGTACTATAAAGCTGCTTAAGAATAGTCATAAAATTATTTCAAATAAAACCTAGATTAAAATCAAACCATTTATTCATTTACAATTAAATTAAGTGCACAATCCAACCAAACAGTATGTTTTCTTGATTCATTTCCAATAATTATTAGCAAAAGATATGTAACTGATATCAAAGCAATAACTGAATCAGATTTTTAAATCTTTGGATGAAAGATCTTATCTTAAATTTAAAGGGGTAAATTTTTAATAACTTACATAATTATAAGATAATTTAAGCATAAAAATTTATATTATATATTATTATATGGCTTTTCTTTAATTTAAAAGAGACTAGAGCCAACCCAATCTCTCTCTAATTTTACAATTGTATTTATATATGCAAATTCCTCCACTCTTAGTCAACATAATTTTTAGGGGTGTCAATTTCGGGTCACGGGTCGGTTAGGGTCGGACCCGGAATTGACCCGGGTTCAAACGGGTCGACCCTAACCCGACCCGGTTAGGTAAACGGGTCGCGCGCAGGTCAGCGGGTTTGGTTAAAAAGGGTTCGCGGGTTGACCCGGCAACCCGTCGGGTCAACCCGAATCCGACCCGTTTTGAAATCGGGTAGAGTCCAACCCGGATTTTCGGGTCGGGTCCGGGTCGGGTTTTCGTGTCGTGTCAAATATTGACACCCCTAATATTTTTTCTTATAAAATTACAGAAATTAAATTTGTTCATTTCTTATAAGGTTAAAGTTTCGTTTGGTATAGCTTTTTCATTGTTTTAGAACGCAGTAAGAAAGTTGTCTCAAATGAAATCTAACGTTTTGTTTGAGACAACTTTCTTACTGCTTCTTAAAGCAGCTTTTTAATAATAAAAAATAAAATTTTTATACTATAAAGATGCTCTAAGAAGCAGTCAAAAATTCATCCCAGGCTTTGTTTGGGGCATGCTTTCTCACTGCTTCTTAAAACAGTTTTTTAGAAAAAAAAAATTAAAATTTTTTGTACTAAAATTTTATTTTAAGAAGCAATAAAAAAGCCGTCCCAAACAAAACCTAAGTCTCATTGATTAAAGAAAATTAAGTCTTCTCAGTTCACAAATCAAATAAATTGTGGTCATATATAATCATATGCCTATTCAAAATCCTTATATTTATATTAAGAATAGTACAACTCATGACATATACATAATATTAATCTTAGGGAAAATTCAAAGATTTTACTATCAATAGTGTCACAAAACAGGTTAGGTTATCTTGGCATAATTTTTTTCCCCTGGTCACGTGTTGTAAGATAATATATTAAGCTGCAACAAATGATCAAGTTAGTTTACTGAAAAAAGCTTAGAAAACTTTATCATTATTTTATTTTTATGTACAAAATTTTCTCTTTGTATCACTTAAACCAATACATCTTTAAAACATTATTTCTAAATTATATGTCATAAATAATTATAAACTTTGTTTTACCATCTACTTATACGTTATACTTGATACATTACAAAAATCACTTTGATTAGGCACAAATCTCGAGGCATATTTGAATGAGAAACCTTTAACATTAAATTTGGGATAATTTGAACTCCAATTACAGCAAACTTATAGTTTAACTTAATGTCTCAATGAGAAGAACCCAACGACACCAGAATCGATCTAATCCGAGCTCAAATGAGCCCAAATCAATGGCTTGAAGATTTTTTTATTTTTTTGGAAAATTCAAAATATTAATTGGATAACCAAATGATATCTAAATATAACATACTTATACTTAAATTGAGCGGCTTGACGAGATGAATGCAGCAAGTTAATGATCCCTTAATTCTAACGTTGAACAATAAGGTACTTAAAAGATGAACAAATGCTCTATGATCGGGGAAATAAATATTGATCATTCGATGAAGCACTCCAAAATTGATCTAAATCTTCTCCATATTTATTGAACATGCCACAATCAAAATTTATAAATACACCTCCACTTTTTAAATCATGAGGACTTTTAGGAGAGGAGGAGG